ATATCACCCAGAATCTGATGGACAAACTGAGGTATTGAACAGAATATTGGAGGGCTATTTGAGGTGCTTCTATTCAGAACAACCTAAAAGTTGGAATACAGTACTTTCTTGGGCTGAGTATTGGTATAATACTAGCTATTAGGGTGCGGCTAAATGTAGCCCTTTTGAAATTGTTTATGGGAGGGCACCTCCTGCACTCACTCGTTTCATCCCTGGGGAAACTGCAGTAGAGGCTGTGGCTCAAGAGCTCCAGACGAGAGATGAGGCGCTGAAGCAACTCCGATTTCACTTAACAAGAGCATAGGATTTGATGACCAAATATGCTAACAGGAAGAGGAAACCATCTTTGGTTAAAGTCGATTGGGGTACCTGAAAATCAGGCCTCATAGGCAAACTTCCATACCCACTATGTTGCATCCCAAACTATCAGCACAATATTTTGGGCCTTTTAAAGTGATATAGCAGATTGGAAAGGTTGTTTTTAAATTACAGCTACTCGAAACATCAAGAATCCATCCTGTGTTCCATGTGTCTCAATTGAAGGTAGCGGTGGGTACCAAATAAGTTGAGAAGAATCTTCCAGATGAACTGCAAGCAGAGGGCCCAATGTTTTGGCCACTCAGGATTTTGGACAGAAGACACCAACAGAGGGACAAGGAGCTGATACCGCAAATATTGGTTGAATGGCAGGAAGGGGGAAGGAGGGAGCAACATGGGAGGACGTGCTTACTATTCAGGAACAGTTTCTAGACTTCAACCTTGGAGATAAGGTTGAACATAAAACCTTGGAGATAAGGTTGAACATAAGGCGGTGGGTAATGATAGGATATGGAGAGTTTATGAAAAGAAGAAAAAAGGGAATAAAGAGGGGGAGAGACGTTAGGCAGTTATAACAGAAATCATAGCTTGGGCGGGAAATAAAGCTCCTATAAAAAGAGCTGGTGTATTTGAGTAATACTCACTTTTGAATTGCATATTGTAAAGACAGGATCACGTTTATCCTGTGGAGAGAGAAGTTGGTTCTCTTGGAGTTTGTTTGGCTGTGCATTTACTATATTGAATAACAGAATTATACAGTATATTCTTCTTTTCTACGCTGTGAGTGTGTGTTAAGTGCAATTTAGATAGGTTTCCAATTCAGAAACCTATCAAGATGTCTTGACAGGTGAGGATTATCCAAGCATTTTATAAGGACACCACATCCACTACATCTCTACTCTGTCTGCGGCTGCATACACTCCCCTGCACCAAACACAATAAAGGTTCTCCAAAGAGGTGGCCAAGGATTATCACAATTAAGACAACTTTTTATCACATAACCAGCTGTATGAATATAATATATAGACTCAAATTGAGGGTGCGTGTTGAGCATTATATTCATCTAGTGTGATCCTTATTTAGGGTGATATTCCCTTGATTATATAGTTTACTTGAATAGCTTGATCCTAATTCCTAAACTTCAGTGATTTTTATTCAGACCCCTTGTATTTAAATATTTTGTACCAATAATTCATGATACATGAGAAAGTATTGTTCTCCAGCTTCAACTGTTAAGAATTAAGTAATGAGGGGGATGGTTTTGTCTGATCTTTTTTTAGATATGAAACTGGTGACCATGTGGGTGTTTTTGCTGAAAATTGTGATGAAACTGTTGAAGAAGCTGGAAAATTGTTGGGTCAGGATTTAGATTTGTTGTTTTCCCTTCACACTGATAATGAGGATGGTACTCCCGTAGGAGGATCTCTTCCACCTCCTTTCCCTGGCCCTTGCACACTGCGCTTTGCTTTAGCTCATTTTGCAGATCTCTTGAACCCCCCACGCAAGGTTTTTATATAATATTCATTGAATGTTTTCCGTTTCTTTATCTTTTCTTATATAACAGTGCCCTTCAATAAATAGATTTTTTTTTAAAGAAAGGAAGAAACAGTTAGATGTGCTTTTCTTTCAGGCTGCTTTAGTGGCTCTGGCTGCACACACTTTGGAACCCAGTGAAGCAGATAGATTAAATTTCTTCTCATCTCCTCAGGGAAAGGTTGAAGAAACTGCTGAGTTATACTGTTTCTTTTTTCAAGTTGATATCCTATCTTTTCGTCTATTAACAGTTTAAAATTTTTGGTTTTCTAGGATGAGTACTCCAAATGGGTGGTTGGAAGTCAGAGAAGTCTCCTTGAGGTTATGGCTGAGTTCCCATCAGCAAAGCCACCCGTTGGTGTTTTTTTTTCTGCAGTAGCCCCTCATTTACAACCTCGTTATTATTCTATTTCATCGTCACCTAGGTGATTATTTTATACTATCTAAAATATCTGGATGAATGGCCATAAATAACTTAGTTTTTATTTTCTAGGTTTTCCCCTCAAAGGGTACATGTAACTTGTGCATTGGTATGCGGTCCAACTCCTACTGGAAGAATTCACAAAGGAGTATGTTCAACCTGGATGAAGGTATAAACTTTTGATGGATTCACCTTGTGTGGATTTCCCCCCTCCTGAAAGTGTGTACATTATCATTCAAGCTTGGTTATATCTAACCTGAAGCTCCCTCATAATATTGTCAGAGTGCCATTCCCTTGGAGAAAAGTCATGAGTGTAGTTGGGCTCCTATTTTTATCAGAACATCAAACTTCAAGTTACCGGCTGATCATTCCATTCCTATTATTATGGTTGGTCCTGGAACTGGCTTGGCACCTTTCAGGGGATTCTTACAGGTACATGAACATTTTACAGATAGTTTAGTTTTAAAATATCTATCGAAAGGAGGTACTGAACATTCCTATTATTATCGTTGTAGTTCTTATAGGGTATACTGACTTTTAACTGAAAAGAGGAGATTTTAGGATAAATGTAGAATAGAGAGTGAAGGACAAAGAGGAATCAGATAGAAACTACCTACATATGTAAATCAACCACGATAGTGAGCTAAAATATAAAATACATAATTCTTATTCTATGAGAATTAGAAGCTCCAATTCAAGTCCTAGTTTATCGTAAAAGTGTAGTTTACCTAAATGATTAAGTGCTTGTTTGGGAAAATTGATTGTTGTGAGAAGTAAGTACTTATTTTCAAAAATTCTTCCAAGAAATTGGCAAAGATAGTGATTATTTCTTTAAAGTAAATTGGACAAAATACACAATAATTTATAGATTCCCAAGTGTTCTTGAATAAAGTGATATTGTTGATTCTATAAACTTAATTTATGGTAAGATTCTGTCTTTTAATTCTTGCATTATCTTTGACTTACGCAGGAAAGATTGGATCTGAAAGAGAATGGTATTCAAATTGGAACTGCATTACTCTTCTTTGGATGTAGGAATCGTCAAATGGTAAAATAATTACTTGGTGGGCATTCAATCCCAATGGAGTTTTAGCATGATGTGGGTTTCCTGTTTATAGGATTTTATTTATGAGGATGAGCTAAACAAATTTCTGGAACAAGGTGCTCTGTCAGAGTTGATAGTCGCGTTCTCGAGAGAGGGACCTGAAAAGGAGTATGTTCAACACAAGATGATTGATAAAGTAAGTTTCATTAGCTGCCTACCTTGTAGGCAATGGGTGCCCTATAGATAAATTTTTCATTGCATTAATTTTCTCGGTGCAGGCAGCAAATTTGTGGAATTTGATTTCTCAAGGAGGTTATCTTTACGTCTGTGGCGATGCTAAGGGTATGGCAAGAGATGTTCATCGGACCCTTCATACCATTGTCCAGCAGCAGGTGCTGATTGTCTCTTTTCATCCATTCTTTTCCCTATCACTTAGGCTTGGAATCGTCTCCTTTTGTTAGTCCCACTCATTCATATAGGCCGTCACTTTTAACATGAGAGAATATACACGCACAGGAATCATATTATTAGGTGAGATATAAGCACACAAGGAGGGAGTTGTTATTCTTTACCATGCATATATTATGGAGAGTCATGATTGGACATATATATAATTTGGTGTCGAAATCAATTTTTATATTCGAATTATCCTTATAAATCACATCTACAAAATATTATAAGTATTTAATACTTATGTATAAATTCTGTAGCAATATATACTTTAAAAATACACACACTGATAGGTTTCTGATCAAGAATCCCAACTATTACCACAAATGCACTAACAGAACACTGTATAACCTCTCTTTTTATTATCAACAGAAAGAATACAAGTATAAGGCCACCATGAGAGCCTAACCTCCCCCTACAGGGTTAACAATTCCTATACAGATTACCCATAGTCTAAAGTCCCCCAACAACTAACAAAGCCTGTCAGGGCAATTAGGCTAACTAACGCTTCCTTCTCCTTTCATATACTCTCAATCTCCTATCATTACACCCCTGGCCGAAACAACCTTGCCTCAAGGTTGAAACAGGTAAGCTTGATCAAGAGGCTTGGGTGGCAAATCCTCCTCTTCATCGTCTTCTTCATCCTCTACTAAGAGTAACACGCGCAAACTTCTCTCGGCGCAACGATGGCCAGGGGCGAAACGGCCCCCACAACGAAAGCATCGGCCCTCTTCCTTCCTCTTAAGGAATTCTGGGTAAGGAAGATTCCTCACCATTCTTCTCCTGTTATCGCTCCCTCCGGTAGTGTTCACCTCCTCGTTAGTACTCGTCGTGACTCCGTCTCTTCTCGTCGACCCTATACTCTCCGTTCCTCCGGACTGGTTCATCGTGGGTCTATTAGGTTCGGATCGCACCACTACCCCGTCAATCGCGACCCTGATGGGTTAATCTTGAACCCACTCCAGTTTCCCCCTTTCGTTTGTAGCGTCGCATCTTCCACGTTGCGAGTGATTGGCATTGCTGCCATTAATTCCTGGGGATCTTGAATCCTCACCTGCCCTTTGATGTCCTCGCGCAATCCGGCGAGAAAATAACCCAGTACTTGTTCTTCGGGCACGCCCTTGGTCTGGCCCATCAGAATTTCGAAATCGCGAACAAATTCCTCCACGATACCCTCCTGGCGCAGCGTCGCCAACCTCTCAAACACCGTTCCCCCTGAATCCTCCTCCAAAACGGTTGACCATAGCCGCCTTCAAGCCTTCCCAAGAACAGTTCTTGGCCTTCTCTTTCCAGAACGTGAACCAGTAAGCCACACTTCCTTCAATGCTAACGTACGCAATCTCCGCCTTCTCTTCATCGCTCGTCACCTTCTGTATGTCGAAGAATCGTTCCGCTCAATTGAGCCAACTAAGGGGCTTCATCCCGTCGAACGTGGGTAACTCTACCCGTTTCTGCCATGGTCTCTGATCCTCACTGCGGTCGCCGACCCCTCTGCCTCCAATTTCCCATTACTCGATGTCGATTCTCGTTCACGGAGCTATCGTCAGAATGTCCCTTCGAGTTATTGACCTGAGTACCCAGAATCCTCATTATCTGTTGTAAATCCCTCCGTACTGCGGCACACTTTGCTTTCATCCCCTCCATCGTAATTTCGATTGCCTCCAATCTTCCCTCCGTATCCCTCTCCATTCTCGCTCTCACACCCAATTCGGATCCGGCAGTTTCTTGATCCTTCACCCCCACTTCGAAACGGCAGGTCGGACCAAATTGATAGGTTTCTGATCAAGAAACCCAACTATTACCATAAATGCACTATCAGAGCACTGTATAAGGCCACCATGAGAGCCTAACCTCCCCCTACAAGATTAACAATTCCTGTACAGATTACCCATAGTCTAAAGTCCCCCAACAACTAACAAAGCCTATCTATTTATACAAACCCATTCCCGCTTTCCTACCTGTCAGGGCAGTTAGGCTAACTAACTCTTCCTTCTCCTTTCATATACTCTCAATCTCCTATCACACACACACACACACACACACACACATATATATATATATATATATATATATATATATGTATATGTATATATATGTATGTATACATATATAGAAATAAAAAATAAAAACCGTTGGTTATATATACTTGTTTAATTTTGACAAAATTTAACACTAACAATGCTAATAGCTATAGTTCAATGGCTGAGTTGTTAAAAATCCTAAATTTTACTTAATTATTGATGACGTAAGAGTTAGTGTAACTTATAGTGATGCAATTTAATACTTTATTATAGAGGTATAATTTGATATGGCTTAAGTTAGACGGGCTCTTACATTAATAATAACCCGCCAGACTGTTTTTTTTTTGACTTGGCAGTTAAATTATACCTATATATTATCATGTGTTAAAGTTTTACTTGCTTATGCTCTGTCTACATTTATAGTGTATCAGTTGACTTTTTTGAATTATGAATAATATAAACCTTTAGCAAAATATTAAATTTATAATACTCTCCTTTCTTCTGACTATTCGGTGTCCTTCACAGTTAATACACCATATGGAGATATTAAGAGCGTACAATAACTCATTTTAACTTATAGAAGTAGTATGACTTCTATAAGTTGTTTTAAGCTTATTAAAGTAACGTAAAGTCTTTTGGTGAAGTGGATCAAATAGACTTTTGTATATTTATTGTATTAAGTTTCGTAGTTCAATTTATGACATAAGATAAAAGTTTATTGAAACACTTAATTCAGAACTATGTCTACAACATGTTTATGAGTTTAATTTTAATTTCAGGAAAAAGTGGACTCTTCAAAAGCAGAGGCTATTGTGAAAAAACTCCAAATGGATGGACGTTATCTTAGAGATGTTTGGTAAATTTTCTGGTTATTCATTTGTCTGATTTTGACATTCCTGGTATTTTGTTTACGTTCAAGATGGGTTGAAGAATATTTGATACTCTACTATCACGAAGTTTTCTGACACCAATGGCGGAGGCTGGAATTTTGCTGTGAAAACAAATCGTTTTCGTGGACATTTGTATGGTTTCCTAATATTTTTTTGTCAGTCTTAAAATATTCTCTTATCATGATATTTGACCTAGGATTATTTTTAGGATATTGATAGACTCAGATTTAAAACACGTATACGTCTCGGTTATTTCCAATGGGCATGTATCTAAGTCGTAGGGATAGGTGAGGAATTATAACTCGATGCATGAAATAGTTCAATATTCTTGTAGTTTGTATCAAGATATAACTACATATAATTTTGCTAATATTAAACAAGGTTTTATCAAGATTTCGTGATTTTAGAAAAGGGTTAATGTATTTTAGATAACGGCTTCAATACTTGTTTTGACGCTATTTAGTCCCAGTTTGCTTTTTGTTTGCAACATCTCCAGATTGTTGTTTTGTTTCGTGATGTGAAAAACATGGCTATTGGAAGCTAATAGCAATCAATTATCTAAATGGGCGGGGAGGTAGAGATACCTTTTCTTAAGTAGAAGTTTTTCAGAACGTAAATGAGGAAGGGAAGCCATTTCTGAATCGGAAAACGAATTAGCGTGGGAGTTATATAATTTGTTGGGCTAGGAGGTGTTGAAGTAGAAGACAAGTGGGTTTGGAAGGCCACTTCTTTCTGCATCTCCCTTTTTTCTTCTTGCACTCTCAAAATGTATTATTACCATACCCTTGAATAAAATATATTTAAAAACTCCAAACTTCTTTCCTCGCTGTACCTCCCTCTTGGCCTTTACTCTTCTGCCATCTCCATCACCCATCACCAATTTCATCTTCTCACAACTATAAAACAGTGAACCATCCATTATCTTTACCTCCACCTCCAATCCAAGCACACAATCCTGAGTGGAGTGAATTTTGGTGACGGTGTAGAGGTAGATAAAGAAGATTTTGAATCTTTTCATTAGGTGTGATTTTTGGATTATGGTGAACGTTTTAAAAGTGTATCAATCGATATTGTAGTGATAAATTATCGTCCTCTTGATTTAATAAGTTGAGTACTATATTATTAATTCACATAATTTTAAGAAACAACAAGAAATCAAGTGAAATAATAAACATGATGAGAATTTAATTAATGTAAACAATGTTAGAGTATTGATTTCATACCCTTTTATATAAATTTTTGATCTTTTTAATTGATGTGCAAATTATAATTATTTATTTGATTTTATTAAAAGTTTGTTTATTCCTAATTTTTTAAACAAACTTATCCATTAAATTCTAACCTCAAATCATTTAGGTCAGTTACAAAATTTAATAAAATCATAAAGAACAATAATTATCTCAGTTGTAAATTAATTACCTATGTTTAATTTTTCGATTGTGATAACATCTAACCTATTCTATTTATAAACTCAAAGAATCTTCAATTTTTCAATTGTGAAACTACTGATAGAATAGATGTTAAAACATAAATATAACATTGAGATAATTAAAATTACAAAACATCAATTGAAAAGGTTCAAAAATTATAATCCAAAGTATTACATCAATCCTTTAACAAAAAGGAAAATTAGTTATGCGTAATGTAAAATTCCAAAGAAAAACTAAAGGAAGAAGAAGTGTAGAAGGTGTTTCGTGCTTCTTGATCCGCTTTTTTCCCCGAATGTTACGTTGCCAATTGTTAACCTTCCTTTTTTCCTCTACTTCTCCCTTTTAGGAGAGTGGTTACCCTCTTTTAGTAATTGTCTTTCATTTTTCTATTTTTTTAATCTCTTTAAATTTACATAATGAGATGTCAGTAATTATTTTGACTTCATAGGGACATGTAAATGCTATCTTTTCCTGATCTTCAAGAGCTACTGTTGTTTTTTTGTAACCAGAATAGCCATCAAGAAAACACTAATATGCATGTCCCACCAATTTTTTCAGCATTTGATCTATAAAAGGGAGTGGAAAATGGTCATTTCTTATGACTTGATTCAATCTTCTGTAGTCAATACACATCTGCTACCCTGTGACTTTTCTTGTAGGAATGAGCTCATTGTTTTCATTTGTCACTATTGTTATCCCTCCTTTTTTGGGTACAACATGAACAAGACTTACCCACTCACTATAAAAAATTGGATAGATAATGCTCGTATCTAATAGTTTAATTACTTCTTTCTTTACCACTTCCTTCATAGTAGGGTTGAGCCTTCTTTGTGGTTAATGCATCGGTTTAAAGTCCCCTTCCAAATAAATTTTATGCATGCACACAATAGCACTAATACCTTGCAAATTTATCTCAACACCCTTAAAATTTTATCTTCCTCAGTAGTAGTAAGTTCACTGCTCACAATTATAGGGTTAAGCTTTTTCTCATTTAGGAACCTGTATTTAAGTTGAGAGGGGAGTTGTTTCAATTCTATCTTAGATGTCTCTTCTCCTCTGCTCTCAGTCTTGTGTAGGTCTTCTATCCCTTTGTGGAACTGAATAATGACTTGAGGACTTCTAATTGATGAGCACACTTCACCACCTCTTCATCATTCATTTCTTTACTAAACTCTTTTGCTTCCATTCCTAACAGTAAAGCTCTCTCTAATGGATTCTTCCTCACATGGTAGTCTATCTCCTCCAACACAAGCGACTCAATTATTTCAGCCTTGAAACAATCTTCTTTGTTCAATTTATGCTTCACTACTTCATTTATAGAGAAGGCTTAAATGCTTACTTAGTCCCCATGTTAGGAGGTAATTTTTTGTTTAGTACTGGGTTTTAAAAATGTAGGCATTTGGTACCTATGTTTTGAAATTTGTATCAATTCAATCCTATCTGTTATGTTGTAAGGAATGTCGTTAAATGTTAAATGATGTGGAAATAACTTATCTGACCTGACAAAAGATTATTTTAAACCAAAGGCAAGTATGAAATTATTATTTCATTACAATAAATTAAAGGCTAACGTGCTTGCCCTAAGACATTGATGTCGAAGGAGCTTAGGTGAAGGAGCTGAGGTGAAAGAGGTGAACTGAGGTGGGGTGGCCTTCGTTGTTTGGTTTGTGTGAGGTGAGTGCCCTATGTTGAGGAACTATTGTTGTTGTTTTCTGAGGTGAAGGAGGTCGCTGAGGTGGGGTGCCCTTCGTTATTTCCTTCGTGTGAGGTGGGTGCCCTATCGCTGTTGTCTTCTCTGATTGTGGTTCATTTTTTGGGTTTGGGGTTGTTTCGTTGGTGTGGACGAAACATTATTGAGTGACGACGATGCAATGTCAATGAATCATTGTTTGTCTTGCTCACGGGGGAGCTCTCGTGGTGCTTCATCAAGAGGAATGCTTGGCAGCCAAATATGCTATTGTGGACAGCTTGTCGTATTGAGAGTCGCAAAACTGCTAAGAACGAAGGCAAGCCTTTTTGGGGCTACCCTAATTACAAGGTTTCTTCCATTCGTTGTGTTTTTTATGTTGGGATACATTTATTTGGTTTTTGCTTAGATGATTTTGGTTGGATGTTTTGTACATCGTAGTCGAAATGAAGAAGTGCGAGGATGTAATTTCTTCAAATGGGCCAGTGAAGATAATGTTGATGAAAGGGATACTACAATTGGGTGGCAAAGGAGAAAGATTATTAATTTGGAAAAATCACTTTTGGTTTGTCAGAGAAGGGAAAAGGTCTT